CAACTCAAATGTATTTTGCTGACCTAGCGAGTGCATCTATGCCACGTGGCATGATAGGAGGTTCTGACACAGCGAGCCGCGGCGCCAAAACGACACGGTTACGGAACGCACTGGAAAATGATTAGATTGAACTTCGTTTTCCTTCTGTCATTTCAGTGTAAATGGGAGGTGCGATTCTGTGGTTGGTGAAGGTAAAGACAAATTGTTCTTGAAAAATCAAAGTCAGGCGTAGCAGAACTGCGTTTTCCTGCTCTTTCTTGCTACAGGCTAGAGCATCAATTCCTTCCCCAAAGAAAAGCAGAAGATGCATTCCAGTAATTTGCGTCTGGAGGAGCCGATAAGGATGGCTTCAATCCTCGAACCTTCTAAACCGGTTCTGAAATGCTCCTTTTTTCTTTACGGATCTCGTTTCAGTTTCATTTGATTTCAGCAATTAGTGTTAATCGCACTCAAATTCTGCTTCATTTCTATGTTTCTTTTGCTTTGATACTGGTGCTGTTTGGATTCCAAGAAAATTGGAACAGAAATTAGAATCATAAGAAATAGAAAACGAAACCGAGTTGTCAAGTTGGCCAGGATATTTATGTTATGGTGTAGGGCCTAGTGGGATGAACTTTATATATATATTATGGATCTACGTATGGTGTTTCTGATTTTGGTTTAAATGTGTTTTGTAGAATTTCTTTCCTGCTATGACAAAGATTGTTGGCACGCTAGGTCCAAAATCGCGAACGGTCGAGATAATTTCCGGTTGCCTCAATGCTGGAATGTCTGGTATTGCTTTCCCCTTTTCTTTGATTTATGTACATTTTTCCAAAATTTATTAGGGACAGCTGAGTATTTGCTTGATTTATGTATATTGCTCCTTTTTTTAAAAGAAAAAAAAATTTTGTCACCAAGAAAATAGACGACGTATAATATATTACAGAAACAAACAATGCAATCTATGATGTACTTGAACATTTGCCTAAAATGGAAATTGAGAGTTAACTTCCTCAAGGGTCAAGAATTGTAATGAGTAGTTGATATGATTCTGAGGTGATCATGCTTTATTATATTTGGTTAGTGGCAAGGTTTGATTTCTCATGGGGTGACACCGAATTTCACCAAGAGACATTGGACAATCTGAAGAAAGCTATTAAGAGCATGAAGAAACTCTGTGCGGTAAGCTTGTTCAAGATAGCATGTTACTCTGTTTTAGTCCTTTACCTGACATCTACAAACAGGGTTTATCTTAACTTCAATAAGATGGTCTTTTTGTTTTGGTTTTAGAAATATTAGCTTCATAAGTTTGAATTTGTTGTTTCAGGTTATGCTGGACACAGTTGGTCCAGAATTGCAAGTTGTTAATAAATCAGAGCACCCCATTTCACTTCAGGCAGATACAATGGTTGTCCTGACACCAGATCAAGATAAAGAAGCCAGTTCAAATTTGTTACCAATAAATTTCCATGGGCTGTCAAAGGTTGGCAACTTCATTCAGTGTTATAAGTACTTATTTTGAGGAAGGTTTGGGCAATTTTATGAGCATCTAATCATATATGTATATATAGTGGTACATATTTATCTGATGCATTCTGTGCTGTTGTAGACCAATTAAGATCCTGTTAACTATATCACTTATCGTCAGGGAGTCAGCCCAATTTCTTAATCCCTTCAATAGATGGGGGACGTTGCCTTCTTCCATAGACATTTTATTTTCTTATGTGCCTTCTCATTCTCTCTTCCTCTCTCCTAAAGTGTATTATGAAATAATGTATGTGGTATAGTAATTATGCGTATTTTGATTCATCTTTCCATTCTAGCTATGTTTTTGTTGACACTGACACCATTTATTTGGGTTTTGTAGGCAGTGAAGAAGGGAGATACTATTTTTATTGGCCAATACCTGTTTACAGGAAATGAGACTACTTCTGTGTGGTTAGAGGTAAAAGCTCTTCAGCAGTGAATTCATTGTCTGTAATTGTAACTCAGTATAGCCTTTGCTGGATGAACTTGATATTTTCCTACTTCCCCAACTTCCAATTCTTTTGGTTCAAAGTGAGAAATTAATTAATTTACTCTCCTTTCAAGTAAGTTTAATCTCATAAATGTGAGCTAGATAAAGACAGAATGGAAAATGTGTTACCTGAGGGATGGGAAGGTGAATAGAGAATAAAAATGAAGGCTATCAATATTAAACTTTGAACTAAGTATTATTATCATGTTTTCTTCTGTGTTTCACCATGCTGGGTGCTGAGGTGCTGTTTGTTGTGTTTCAACATGCAGGTTGATGAAGTGAAAGGTGAAGATGTTGTTTGTATGATTAAGAATTCTGCTACCTTGTCTGGGCAGTTGTATACTTTTCATGTCTCTCAAATCCATATTGACCTGCCTACACTCACTGATAAAGATAAGGAGGTAAATTTCTTGAATGCTTGTTATAACACTAGACACGGCTCTTGGTATTTGAGCATTTGGAAGGCTGATATTTGCTTTGTCAAATCTTGCCCAAGGAGAACTGCACATTATTGTTAGGAAGTCTCTTTCCTTGAATGTTTTCTCCTTTAAAGTGGGTGGGAGTTTAGGGTTTGAATCCCCCCTTTCCTCTCCATGATCTATCTTCCTTGGAAACAACCTACCTGTCCACAGACACAAAAGAGAAGATTGACATCCCATAGTATGGACCGAGTTCATTTAGTAATAAAATAGTCACTTTTACTTTAGATAGAAGAGTAGATGAGTGGTAATATTCTAGTTCTGCTACCTTGTCTGCACATTAGTTCAAAAAAGATAGATTTATATTTTTTGTATTTAAGATTTTTTCCTTTTTAGTTTTTTCATGTTGTTTTATTGATCAATATCAGGTGATAAGAACATGGGGTGTTCGAAACAGTATTGATATCCTTTCTTTATCATATACTCGTCATGCAGAAGACATTCGCCATGTAAGGACTTTACCGTAAAGAATTTTTATTATCTAGTAGTGTCAACTTCTCCTTCAAACCTTGTTTTCTATTGGATCAAGTTTTCAACTGTTTTTTGGCTTACAGTATAGTCTTGATATTATTTTCCTAGCTAAATTCAATAGCGGCTGTATGCAGGCCCGTGATTATCTTTCTAAATTGGATGGGCTTGATCAAACTCAAATTTTTGCAAAAATTGAAAATATCGAGGTGAGTGCAGATATTGTCACCTTTTGTATGCCCTTTGACTTATACTCATTTCTCAATTTGATTTTAAATACATTACTTCCTCCGTTGCCATGTCTTTTTGAAGGGTTTAAAACATTTTGATGAAATCTTGCAAGAAGCAGATGGAGTCATCCTCTCTCGTGGAACTTTGGGGATAGATCTCCCATCAGAAAAGGTTTTTTTTTTTTTTTCCTGGTATCAGATCAAAATAGATAATATTGCAACATTTATCATAAGACGAAAATTGTGTGGGTGGACTCGTGAAATATAATACACAATACTTGAAGTCAAGCTGGTACCTTTTGGTGATTGACCACCGTGTTACATCAACCTGATGTTGCTCTGAAATTTGTGTGCAAATACCTGTACATAATTTTATAGGGTTATCAACCAATTCAGTGCCTTTAACATTTCCTTTTAGTTTATAAGAATCTGACCACACATTTGGCTGGTTTCTTCTGATCTTCTTCCATTTTTGCATTTTAAGGTGTTTTTATTTCAAAAGGCTGCTATTTATAAGTGCAATGTGGCTGGGAAGCCTGTAGTGGTTACTCGTGTTGTGGACAGTATGGCAGACAACCTGAGACCTACTCGTGCTGAAGCAACTGATGTTGCAAATGCAGTGCTGGATGGTAAAGTAAACTTTACCTTCTGAAATGGAGTATGTTGCTCTTTTTGACTTTTGGTAGAACTCCATCGTATCATCAATTATTTATTTATTTATTTATTTTTTTAATTTCCTTGGCCTTGTTTGCCAAGTCACAGTAATATGGCAGGCAAGTATGTTAAGCATCAGTTTGAAATCTTATTTTCCCACCTATTTTTGATGGTTCAGGGTGTGATGCAATTCTTCTAGGTGCAGAGACCCTGCGGGGATTTTACCCGGTTGAGAGTATTTCTACTGTTGGAAGAATTTGTTCTGAAGTAAGCTTACTCTATATTCCAAATTTCCAATTAAAAACTCTTTTTCCATTCTACTACTGGTTGGATAAACAGTATTTCCTTATATGTGTGTATAAAAAATCTGGTCATTGAAAATGTACTGGACTTGGGCATCTTTCTGCAGCTTATGAATTTGAATATCTGCAGTTGTTTGAATGCTATAATATTTAGCTGCTGCTAAATCAGTGTTGTTATTTCCTCTTTGTAATTTCCCTTGTCATTTATTTCTCTTACAAGAATGAGTCACTTTTCATTGATGCCTTCTGTTGAGCGCAGGATGCCCAATTTGACCCTAGCATAGCCCATAATTCAAGTGCTGAAGTTATTTATTTGTCTTTTAGAAAGAAGGAAGAACAAAAAAGAACTTATGCTTGGCAACTATTATTTTCATTAGATAAATACTGAGGGTAATAATAATAAGGCAGAATTTAAATTGCCAGTTTCTCCATCTGGATTCTTTTGTCAGTATATTATTCTTTTATGTTGCTATGGTTATTCAGTAAAATAGTTTTCTGCAGGCAGAGAAAGTATTTAATCAAGATCTATATTTCAAGAAAACAAGCAAACATGTCGGCGAAGAAATTTCTCACCTGGAATCTATTGCTTCTTCTGCGGTATTCCTTTTCTTTTGACTGTCTTTCCTTCTGGTTTCCTGTTTTTTGTCTTCAGATATTTGCCAACCTTTCATTTAACTGCTCTAACAAAGTGTTCACTTGACTGAAGTGTGTCAGAGAAGTCTAGTTCCATAGATTTCGTGGAAAATATCATTATAATCCAATTTTATGTGCTGCAGGTACGTGCAGCCATCGTGGTTAAAGCCTCTGTGATTATTTGCTTCACTTCATCTGGAAGAGCTGCAAGGTTGGTCCATTTCTTGTATCTGTTTTGCTTGTGTTTCTGTACGCTTAGATGCAAATGCTTATGACTAGGATATTTTGAAAATTAACACTTTTTTTTGTTACAGAATTTGTCTCCCCCAATTCATGTTGGGAATCAATGATCCACTCTCTAGCAGAATAGTGTTCTGAACTTTGTTGTGTAGTATTATTGATGCATGTTTAATACCTTCAGAATTCTGTATTAATGCAGGTTGATTGCTAAGTACAGACCAACCATGCCCATTCTATCTGTTGTCATCCCTCAGCTTAAGACAAATCAATTGCGATGGACTTTCACCGGTGCTTTTGAGGTGCAGTATTTACTTTGTTTTTCTTCTTGCTCTTGGCTGCCACTGCCTTCTTAGTATTTTTTGGCTGCCACTACCTGTATTTTACCACCCTTCTTGATATGTATTGGTGTCCAATATGACCGTAGCTGGAAAATAACTTGGTTTCTCGCACGCGCACACCTGCCCACACAAAGTGTGCATGCATATATATACGCACGAAGCAGGATTATATTATTAGTTTCTCTGAAATAATCAATTTATTTGTTTATAGATGCTGTCTCATGCCCTTCTTTTCTGGTCTTATTTTTTGGCTATCCGCCACTGATTCCTGTTGGTAATAATGTGTCCAATTTTGATGGGATAGAAGCAGGATGGGATAGATAGATCATTATCATTAGTAACTACTCAAATACAGCTAAAGCCTATGCAGTGTGTTATACGCACTCTATTTTGTTACTTCTTTTTTCCTGCCTACAATTAATGTTGATTAGTAAAACTGATGCTAAAGCAATCCAGGCTCCAGAGAATAGTTCCATCCGGTCAGAGACTTTTTGAATCCTTTTTCAATTTTTTTCACTATTTTGCTGAATACTTATTTCTTATCATTCACTCTTAAGAAGTATTTTATTATTCAGCTGAGGATAAGAATCATCAATACGCTCTCTTTTTTCTGAATGTTGTGGCAGGCAAGGCAATCCCTCATTGTGAAAGGAATTTTTCCCATACTTGCAGATCCTCGACATCCTGTAAGATTCTTTTACATGCTCATTTAGGTCTTCCTGCTCACTTAGGAGTTAGGATGACAGATTGGAACTGCGATGCAGTTTCCTATGATGATATTAGCTATATATCATGTTCATGCTTTGACACTGAAAGGTGCACTGCTTTGCAGACAGAGTCTGCAAACACAGATGAATCGGTTTTGAAAGTAGCTCTGGATCATGGCAAAGCCTTGGGTGTTATAAACCCACACGACCGGGTTGTGGTTTTTCAGAAAGTTGGTGATTCATCAGTGGTGAAGATCGTTGAGCTTGATAAATAGTTACATGTAATTTTGAGAATGCTTTGGCTTTGAGATGTAGCAGATCCTCTGCTTAACAAGTTTCTCTTCTTCATTTGTTGTAAAATAAAGAATAGATTGTCAAGACTTTATGTTGAATTTCCTTTTATACATGTATGAGACAGCTATATTATATCAAGTTTCTCTGACTAAAAGATGAATATATTGGTACCATATATTATCAAATTTTGACGTAAAACAATAACAAAATTTCCGATAACCATATATATATAGCGTTGATTCTGGAATTTGGAGAGGGATATCATGATTTATAGTAAGGGACAAATATTTAATTAGAACGGAGGCACATATTAACATTAATGGATAAATGATTTTTTTTTTTTTTTTTGAACAAGTATAAATTTGGGAAAGGATTTGAATCCACATTTAAGGTTAAGAGTACACATTTTTCAAAATTTATAATTAATTGACTTTCTAGATCAAATGCTATGGATAAGTGAATTTTAAGAAGTTTTACTATTGCATTTTTCTTTAAATATTTTTTTAAAGAAGGAATAAACGTAATAAATTGTTTAAAATTACAATTAAAGTACCTTTCAAATCTTAAAAAATTACTCCTTTTTCATCAGAATTGAAGATGATTAAAAAGGCTTAAAGCTCATAAACTTAAGGTTTAAAATTTAAACTTTAGAATATCTAAAAAAAAAAAAACATATTTGAATTGATGAGAATGAAGGAAAAAAAGAAAAGAATATATTAAATTAATTTAAATCAGAATGTTTATTAATTCAACTATACTTTTAAAATATATATATAATTTTTGAATGGGTTTATAATTTGGGGGTGGGAGGTTCAAATCTCAACCCTTAGATTAGAGTGATATATTTTACGAGTCGATTTATAATTGTTGGGTTGTAAGATTCAGGTATACTTTTAAAACATATTTAATTTAAAAAATAAAAAAAATAAAAGATGATTTTGTTCTATCAAAATAAAATCTTGGATCATAAATCTTCCCTCCTGTCAGACAGAAAGAAGGGAACGGCTACGTCGCAGCACAGGATATGAACCAAAAAAACTTCTCAAAAAAATAAATTAAATTAAATTAGAATGTTTATTAATCCAACTATACTTTAAAAAAAATTTTTTTTTTTGAATGAATTTATAATTTGGGAGTTGGGGTTTAAAACCCAACTCTTATATCGGAGTGATGTACTGTAAGGACAGGGCTGAGGTGCCAAACCTCGGACTGCTACAGTAATTTCTTTATGACCGAAGTGAAAAATGAATCTGAAGCTTCCCGCTCAAATAGCTGCATGATAATGACAGTAAGCATGTCCACACCTGATTCCTTATGATGAGCGGCACAGCAGGAACGGTAGACACCTGTGCATCTGAATACCTCTCAAATTCTCGGTCCCGGAATAATCGTCTGGATAGACACGTCAGGCTCCGACTATCTTGCTTGGCATGCCACGTGGGTTCCTCACTGAATCCTATAAATACCCCCTCCGGGCCACGTCAAAAGGTAATTGAAATCAACCCTAAGCTCTTTTTATCTCCGTTTTAAAGGTAGCCCCGATTATTGCTGACTTAAGCATCGGAGTGTCTACCCCGAGTTCCACCTCGGGGCTTTGCAGGTCATCCCGAAGTACAAGTGCGGACTGAAGAAGGACTTCGGGTTTGGTGCAATTACATGTACCTTATAAATCAATTTATAATTGTTGAGTTGTAAAATTTAGGTATATTTTTAAAACAAATTTAATTTAAAAAAAATAAAAAAACTAAAAGATGATTCTGTTCTATCAAAATAAAATATTGGATCATAAATCTTCCTTCCCGTCAGACCGAAAGAAGGGAACGGCTACCTCGCAGCACAGGATATGTACCAAAAAACTTCTCAAAAAAATAAAAATAAAAATTGTACATGTCACAATGGAGCAATTAAAAGTTATTAAATATATATAATTTCACAGTAGGCACAGATACGAAGAGCGCCCATGGCCTAATGGATAAGGCGCCTGACTTCTAATCAGGCGATTGTGGGTTCGAGTCCCACTGGGCGTGTTTGTTTTTTCAAGTTTCCCAAAGAATACTACCGCCACCCCAAAAAAAAAAAAAGGAAAAACTGCCAGACTCTAGAGTCACACAGTAGACATCATTTTTGCACCCAAATGAGCTTGCATTTCGTAAATAACAGTCATGACGGTCTCTCCTTGTTTACGGTATTGGATATAAACCCAGGATTAGTTACAAAAAGTTCTACAGGGCTTTGCTTGAAGATCTATCTAGCACCCATCTCGCTACCTCCCTGCCACAGCCATGTCAGAGTGCCTCTGAGAAACGTAAATCTGCAGGCCCTGGACCCAAAATTCCTTTTTGGTCACTTATATTGCCTAGTCCAAGAGGGGGCGGGGGTGGTGGTGGTGCTGCTGCTGGTGGTGGCTCTGGATGTCCATTCTCATCGTCTCTCCAGCTAGGAGCCTGCCACTCTCTCTGCTACATTAGTGCAAATAAAAGAAGAACACATAAGTGGGGGACCGCTAATATAAATCTCAAAAGTTATGCCAAAACACACATTCTTACAAGAAGGACCATAACTCCTAATCTTATTTGGCCATCATTAACAAGACAATGAAAAATTTTCACTCTTTAAGTTGGCAAGGAATTCTTTAATCCAATCATGAGAGCAACGCCACAGCTTTAAAAAAATACCAGAAGATCGTGTTGGCCTGATTATATCAGAAATACTTGCCTCATCATGACTGTCCTGCAACAATGGGGTACTGAGTGGAGGGACTACATCTGGGTCAGGTTTTTGAAATATAAATGTGGTATAAAGACCTGTAGAAGTAAATTGATTAAAACAAATGAGACACTAGGTATAAGATGCAAAAGCAAGTGAAATGGTTATATGACAAGAAATGTGAGAGAGGCACCACCTAACATATCATAAGATCGAGGAAGAAGTCTCCCCCTTAGATCCACGAGGTTTTGGCCAGCATTCAGAATCATGCCTGCAAATTGTGCTCTTGTCCAACAACAAAATCAAGAAAATCAAGAACCATCCAGGACATTTCCAAATATCACAAGAAATAGATATTAGATGGAAGAGTTTCCAAAGGCAAAAGGCTAAATTAAACTCCATAATGTATTATGAAAATGCTAAGAATCAAACAGAAATCTCATGTACCTGTTATCATCATAAAATTCAGTTAAGTTTTGAATCTCCACATATTCAAGACCAGCTTCTCTGGCCAACCTGTGTTGCATATTGGAGACATTGACTATTATATCACATGAAAGTTAATTTGCATAACATGAAATATTGAAGGACACATTAGTTATTCCAAAATCAAGGTTGGTATAGTTAATAACAAAATTTGCAACATGTGATGCTCAATTGCAACGTGTCACTTGTTATTAGCACATATTTCATGCCTCAGAAATTATACCATGTTTTAAACATGAGGGTGATCTGCAGTAGCTTGGGAAGAGAGATGGGGTGTTAAATATCTAGGATTAAGGTAATTAACAGAAAATATGGCCAAAACTCAAGCTTCATAATGCAATGGACAAACACTTATCACAAACAACAGAATGTAGTTGAGAGAAGTGAAAAAGTACGATCATATGATCACAGGTTTACCTGATTAAACTTGGAAAATGAACCAAACAATGGGTCTCAGCAGAGAAGTCACTAGCAAATTTCAATTGGTACTTTTTCCCAAATAATGGAAACCTGGGATTAAAATGAATACATTTAACACAATTGAATGAAATTACTAGATGTAGTTTGTAATAAGCAAAAAAGAAAACTATCTCTGTTTAACATATACTTCTCTTCCTCAACTTCAAAGGTGATCATGTAATTCTCAGAACGAATGCAATTGGGAACAATATTAGGCTTCATGCTGCTGCTTCTATTGTGGTATGCTTCAACGTTCTTCTGGTACTTGGCCCTGCATATGCAATTATGCTTCAATATTAACTGTACGGCACAAATTCATTCCAGAAAACAATCTGTTTTCGTTTCAAGGTAAAAAACAGTGCAATTAACTCCAGAAGACCATGTTGTGTCAACAAGTGGTTTAAAGAAAAAAAAAATCATTGCAGAAAACAATTCGTTTCATACCATATGGTAGATGAGTCAGGAGTAATACCAAAAAAATAACCCCCTGGTTTTAACAAAGATGCCACATTGTTTAGAAGTTTCCTTGCTTTCTCCTCGGTTTCAAAGCATAACTACAATTAACAATATAAAATCCTTCTCAGATTCATCACTTTCTAATCTCACCTTCAAACTCAGGAAATTGAAAAATATACTCAACAAAAAGATTTGAGACCTGCAAATGCTGCAAGCAGCAGATAAGATCAGCCTGGCCAGCCTTCTCCTGCAACGGGATATCCAAGTTGTCCTGACAAGACAAAAAAACAATATAATGCCAATTGGGATAAGGAACAAAAAGAAGTATAGAATCAAAGTAATCAAAATCTACTTCAGTAAATGCTTGTAAATTCTTCATCTTTGGTAAATGACAGAACTTAGAGAGATTTTTCATGCTATCCAGAGATAAAGAAGCAACAATTCATAGAATCATTAGAAGATCAAAAACATAAAACACAATCTACTTTTAAGCCCAAAAAGAAATTGAAGAGCATTTCAAATCAAAACAAGTCGACATCAAATGAATACAAGCCCATCTCAAGTCAAACTACAGACGTGCATAGAAAAACACAACTGCAGATATACCAACTGGGATGTTATAAGAGATGCTCACATTACAAGGGTCGGCCTCAAAGAACTCAGCAGTGAAATTTTTCCTCTGACTCTCCCATGCGCTTCTTATTTCACTTATCCCAGACGAAGACACATCTGAAATTCACAGCCCATCGCACTGATCATCATACACACAGAAGAAACCCATATAGAAGAACGCTGAATTATTTTTGTAAATCGCATACCGATTCCAATATAATGACTAATTTGAGCTCCGTCCCACTTCTCTGCATCAGGTCCTCCTCCACAGTACAAGTCACACACCTTTGAAAAACCAAAACCCAGTCAGATATTACCATAACACATACCGTATAGGTATTATAGATGCGTGAAGGAGCATAAAGTGCCAGGGAGAGATTGGGGCAAAGACCGTGGCGTAGGGGTGGATAAAGATCTTGATGAGAGCAGTTTTGGCGAACTCGTAGAGTCGATGGTGAGTAGACTCAGCCCTGGGGGTTGGGTAAGCACTCATCTCCCGTTCGCTTCTCGTTTCTACTCACAGCTCCGGCTACTCGGCGCGCACATAGAAGAAGAAGAAGAAGAAAGGAACGAGATTTACAGATTCGCAAGCTTTGATTGAAAAGGGTGGGAAAGAAGGGAATTTATGTTGCAGAGAGGTCCAAGTATTGTCATTTATCTTATATTTATACTTGTATAGAAAATACGTATTTTCTGTGTATTTCACTATTTCTATAGCATCCGTTGTTGGCCCAACCCGAAACGTTTCGCTTAAAGCGAAACGGCTAGGAATCCTAGGAGCCCCAATTTAGGATCGTTGATCTGGGTGGAACTCCCAAGTGACCAAGGGAGTGTCTCAAGTATAGAGAAATGAACCGTGAGACCTGCACTGCAATGGCATAGGGAGATGAGAGCCAAACACTTGTTTTGGTCATCATGGAGAATGAAAGATAATTTCTCTTAGATAATATCATTAGTTAGTACAAATCTTGAAACAAAAAATAAAAAATAAAAAATACAAGATTAAAAATTTTAAATTTATGTATAAATGGACACTTACTAATTATCCCAAATGGGTTAGATTGAAAATAAAATTAATATAAAACATAGGTAGCCAAGGGAAGCCACTGCCACCCAGCATAATCAACTCAACAACCATTAGATATATATATCCATTATAGGAAGAACGGTAACTTTTAAGCGGTAAATATACAACTGGAATAGAAGGGGTATTTCAAAACAATCTTCAGCACTAGCCAGAAAACCAAAATATAACATATAGCATTAAAAATATCATAGTATTAACTTGCAAAGAATCCATGCCTTCACGATATTGCACAAGGTAGCTTGGATCTTTCCCTCTGCCTGCACAAGTGAGTGTTCATGTTGGCAGGTAGAAGAGAGAAGCCTGTAAGGGCGAGCCAGGCGGTGGAATTTTGCCCACATACAACCTGATGCAAGTCGTCTCTGAGAACACTGCAACTGATTTGAAAATGATGTTATTTTTCTAGGTCCAAGAATTCTTCAAAAGTTCTAGCACTGGCACACTCCTGCAAAGCCTTAGCATTGAGTTCTCTGCCGAATCTCCAGACATAATTCAAACCAACAAGAAGCTCAGTAATAGCTGCTTCTGTCTTTTCTTGATTTGCAAAGTAGAGAGTCTGCACCAGAAGCACGTTAGTCCTGGAAACTAAATTCTGCTGTTCAAAACTCCGCTCAGACTGCCACCTAATCATGTTATGAGCTAATGGTGCTAACCACTCCAATATTGCAGCCATTGCCTCCGTCCACTCCCCTGCAAGAACTGTATCATAAAATGATGAAGCTAAGCTCTTCATGTATGGCTTTAGCCTTGCCCTCAGTGCAGCTCTTACACTTGCAGGTAACATGTTGTACAGACCATCTCGAGCGTCATGCCCAATTAAGTGAGGAGATGCTGCCAGTTTCTCGATGACAATAACAACATTTGCATAGTGCAATGCTAAAGCGGTAGCACCAAGAGTTTCAGGAGGGGCAACCAAAAACTTGCGCTGGGATCTGAAGACTGATGAATTAGTTTGTTGAACAGCATTTCCCTGAGGAAGTTCTAGATTTCCATCCTTGGTTCCATTGAGAAGTCCTGAACGAATATCATTTGAACTTATATAACAATTGACAATGGGTGAACTATCTGCCGCTATCATGCATCCTTTCAGAGGTCCAACTTGCGTCAGTCGGTTAGTTTTCAAATGCAGTTTCTTTGCATTTGGAATGGCTGGGCGGTTCTGAGTCTGCCAAATCTTCTTGCCAATTTTATCCAATCCAGAAATTGGTCCTGATTTTGTAGCTGACCTCCCAAGGGGACCAGAATGGAAATCAAAATTTCTGTTCTTTTCAGCAACAGAACCTGATTTTGTGGCTGAGCTACTGAGAGGACCAGAATGGAAATAATTTGTTTTCTTTGTGTTTGTAATTGGGCTAGATATAGTGGTAAACATTGCAAGGGAACCTGAAGAAAATCTAGGAATGCTAGTATTCTCAGCTGGATGAACTGAAGTTTGCAGCAAAGCAGAAACAGACTGGCTGCGATAAATAAAATCAGAATTCTTCATGCTTGAATCTCCACCATCTATAGGCTGTTCAATCCCAAAGACATGTTTGATCTTACTAAATAATGTGAACAATGATCTTGCCAAAAGGCAGACCGTATAATCATAGGTCTTTTTCCAAAGAGACATCTCTCTCAAACTCTTCACCTCATGTTGCTTCGACAAGACTTTCTTCTGAAACTCAAGCAAATTCTCAGGCTCTGTGTCACTGCTCTTCATTCTCCTTAGGGTTTGTTCAAGATCTGCAAGCAATTCCATCTCTTGATACAAAATAGCATTCACAGAAATGTAACGTTCCATCTTCTTAACTTTCTTCTCCATCTTCTTTGACGTAAATTCCCAGCCATACAGATCAACACCAAACAAGATCAAGTCATCAAAAGCACGCTCAAAATTCTTCAGACCAGGATCGTGACAACTCTTTGCAATCCTTGCCACAGATTTTGCCACATGTACCATATTCTCAAGCATTTCCGCACAAATCAAACTCACAATGAAATCTTCATCCTCAGACACAAGCTTCTTTATTCCCACAGAATTTGTGATCTCACCCCTTAACGTAACAATCTGCTTATCACTTAGAGACTGCCATAAATAAACCAGCTTGGACATCAAACTAGCAACTTCAAACACCAACACTCCAACTTCCACCTTCTCAGGACTACCTTCATGCTTCCGTGGAATTTTCCACAAATTACGAAACCATGATTCTGCAACCATCTTCTATCCCTGAAAGTCTACCCTGAAAAGTAATATCATGAATCATGATGTTACTAACGCTAGTAAAAAGCCAAACCCCACCTTATATCCGTGATTCTACAGTTAAGACTTAAGAGTTTTAATATCACAGGAACAAGCAAAGAGCTTTGGACAAAATCCAAAAGAAAAACTTATGCCCAATAATGAGTAACTTCCAATTCGCCAAAAAAATTTATAAATGCAAATCACAAAATTTTGATCATAAATTAATTTTTTCTAAGACTAAAAATCTAGACTTTAAATACCAATCAAAAGAAAAACAAATTTCCATAAGATATAGACTAGTACTTTAATTGATGATGCAGGAGCAGCAAAGGCAATCAATATAC